TAACGATTTTTGATTTTTCACTGTGTTATAGACAACAGGTACCAGGTCATCTGCAAAGAAATAAGAAGATCAAGGATGTGTGACATTGAAGTTATAATATGTTTTTACTCTGTTAAGCAGCCCATTTGTGGCTGTCTATAGTTTTATTGATGTTGTGAGGGCAGTGGCTTGAATTCTAGACTTACGAAACCGTTCTTCTATGACTGCTTGCACAATAAAATGATATCCGTTTAAAGCACAATTAATTATGTGTAAAAGGAATTTTCTTTGCAGCCAAAGCGATTACTGGGTTAAGGAAAATAAAGAATAAGGATAAAAGTTTTATCGCCACTAAAGTTATTGTGAAATCTTGTCTACGTTATTGGACCTATATTTTAGTGTCAATCTGATATGGAACTTTCACGTTTGATTGGATAAGCAGATAAAGATAGAGGAATTGAAATAGCACTCTGAAACAAAGAAGCGGTATATCACTTTATCTATTCAAAATAACTACAGTAATTTGTGATTGAAAATTTTAGCGCATTTTATAACCATTAAAATGAGTTTTTTTTTTTTTTTTTAGAATAATGATTTTTTGGAGAATGTGTGGTTAAAAAGTAGGAAAGCATTTTGAGTTTGTGTGCAGAATATTATATTATGAGAATGTGTGGTTGAAATGAGTTTGAGGAAAAAGAATTAGGCCCTTTTCAGGAGGGCTTAAAATCCAATTAAAATTGAAAATATGGTCGTTATTGGATTCCACCCGTCTAATAAAAGTCAACAATAACGGTTATATTTTCAATTTTAATCTGATTTTAATCCCTCCCAAACAAGCTCTTAATTTGTTTTGGTTATTGTCAAATATGGGCTTAATTTCAAGTGAACACTAAATTTTTACTTTTTCTTTTTTTTTTTTTCTTTCTAGGCTAGATCACCAATCATGATTTTTGTGTTAGGTCAATTGTATAGGAGATTCAATCACACCGAAGAAACTACATACAATATTAAAAGAATAAAGTATCAAAGGTTTACGTGATTTGATCAAGAAATTAACCTATATTAATCGGAGAGAAGCAACATATATATGTGGAGATTATTCTTTTCTTTTTTAGCTAAACCATCATCACAAATTTTAGCTAAACATATGTTGATAAGTGCATTTTACACGCTTAATCGAGCCTCACTTTGTAAATTATTGCTAATTAAGTGGAAATAGCATGAAATTCTACTATTTCATGCTATTTTCTTTACTTGATATATTTTGAGATCCTTAAATTCCCACATTATACATGCATGTTGGATTTTAATAATCATTAATAGGGATAATTGCAAAATGGTCCCTGTCCTATTTTATGAATAACAAGTTAATCCTGAAAAGAGAAAATTGGTTCCAGAATCTTCATTATAGTTCCACAAGAAATGCCAAATGATAGATATTGTTCAAATTTATTTTAAACATTCCATGAACAATACAACTCTTACTTGAGGAATCAAAACTCAGGCATGCTTTGATGAGGATCACGTGAGAACTTAATGAAGATTTTGCTCATGTTTGATCCTCACTTTTTAAAGCTAATTGTTAATCACATATTTCATGAGATCAACTATTTTATCAATTTGTTAATCCCATATTTTATTTTTATCAAAATTTGTTAAAAATATGAATTTTCTTAAAATCAAACATGGGTTTAGATAATATCTATTGCCGAGTACTTTGGAAAATCTTATAATTTCTTATAAGTTGGTCAAGCTCTATTTTTATCCACACATTTCATAAGACTTACAATTTTTACCTACTTTTTAATCATACATTCATTAAGATTTATTGCTTATAAGCATAAATAAGCTTAGCGAAGGAAGCCAACAACTATAATAATGAGAGCCAATTTGCTGATGGGACAATACATTGGGAGACAATGCTGCAATTTTCCCTTATTAATTATTGATGGCCAGTTACATTGCACTTAAATGTAGTCTATGTTTGGCTCATATTTAGAAATTATTTGTAAATTCTCAATCCACTTTTATCAACACATTTTCAAGAAACATCAAGTACTACTCACTTATTCACGACTCATTTATATCTATTAATAATTCTAACCATTTATAAATAGTTCCCAAACATGCTATTATTTCAAGGCATTGTAAACTTGTAATGCAAGATCATCCTAAAATATTTTCAAATCAATTTTACAAAATTCTATATTTAATTAAAGCAGAACTTCTATTTCTATATATATTTTTTTTTTTAAAAAAAAAGGGCTTCTTGAGGAGTCATCTTAGATTAACTTACATTAAAAGTTCTTCTAATTAAACAAGTACTTCAAGAAAATTATCCAAATTATAAAAGTTCTTCTAATTAAACAATTTGCATAATTATATTCTATGATATATGAACTACTCTATTAAAAGTAAAGTCAACAAAAACATGAAGAGTGCAAGTTTAAACTTGACTTTTCACCGAAAAGAGGTCGTCATTTTTCAGGGATACCATCAAATTAACGTATTCCCAATGATGCTCCTTCTTTATCAATCTTTGCTCTCAATCAAAATCAAAAACTCAGATACTAATTGTTGAGAGCTATAAACTCTAATTATATCTATTGAAAGCAATCAATTCATAGAAAGAACAATAAACATTTAAAATCACGCAAGATTTATAGAGGTTCGTCTCAATTTGAGACTACTTTCTCTCTCGCCGCTGCAATAATGCACTCTCACGAAACAAATGTTTACAAGAGAAAATTGTACACCTGTCTCCTCTTACCCCATTTTCTCTTTTTGACAGCTCCCTATTTATAAAGTAAATTAGGGAAAATAGACTCACAACCAGCTCCGCGAAGTGGAAATAATTAGGATCTACAACAATTGAGCTCAACAACTTAACAAGACACAGTTCAAATTTATTTTAAACGGTACATGAACATTACAACTCTTATTTGAGATATCAGAACCGAGGCCTGCTTTGATGAGGACCACATGAGAACTTCATGAAGATTTAGCACTTGTTTGATTCTTACTTTCTAAAATTCTTTTTTAATCACATATTTCATGAGATGCACAATTTCTATCAATTTTTTAAATACACATTTCATCAACTTTTATCAAAATCTACTAAAATATTTGTTTCTCAAAACCAAACATGGGCTTAGACAACTTCCATTGCCGAGTACTTTGGAAAAGCTTATAAATTCTTTTAGGTTGGTCAAATTTTATTTTTATTCATACATTCCGCTAGACTTGCAACTTTTACCTTCTACAATATTTTCAAATAAATATTACAAAATCCTATATTTCAGTAAACATTTAAAACTCTAAGGATCATTTTGACTGTACTTCTACTTCTATTTTTTTTTTTTTCTAAAAGAGCTTCTTGAGAAATTCATTTTAAATCAACTTGCACTAAAAACTCTTTTAATCAAATGATTCAAAAGTAGCTTTCTAATCTTAAAAATCCTCCAAATGATCCCTAAGTAATGTAATGCCATGTTTGATCCACATTCTTCTTAAAATTCATTCTTTCAAAATTCATTTTCAATCACATTTTTCAATGAAATAATATTACACACAATTTCAAAATTTTCATTATTTTTTAACCACATATTTTTCATCACATCATATAATAAAATGCATTTTTTTCTAAAAAAATGTGCATCAAAAACCCCATAAATCTTTAAACCTTTCTATATAAAAAGGTCTTGACGCAAAATTTTAATAAATAAATAGTTGTAATATTATTTAAATTCTGTCTCCATCTATAGTATTGTAGCTACCATTTCTAACACTATGTAATGCGACCAATATTCATAAGTATATTTGTTATAAGTAAAGTCAACAAAAACATGAAGAGTGCAAGTTTAAACTTGACTTTTCACCGTAAAAGAAGCCGCCATTTTTCAGGAAAGCGATTGTGTCTTCTACTTTTGACAATTTTTTGTTTGTTTTAAACTTTATGAGAAGCTTCAAAATAAAGCGTTAGGTGCTTGGCTTCTCATGCATTATATTGTTTCCTAATGCTTTCGGTGGTCATGTGCATGAACTCGATTAGTCGTTTTCGCTATCTCTACATTCGAGATTTAAGAGAGTTTCCCGGTACGATAAATTGGATAAAATTAAAAAGTTATATAATTTTTTAAAATCATTATTATGTTTTTTACATGCTGACTTCCATGATAGGCTAAGTCTCGAAGAATTTTATTCATGTTATATGTCCAACATTGCATCTAAATTCAAAATCAACTTTGTCAGTCCTCATCGTTTCAGTTCCATTTTCCATTTTTCAATCACACATTGCATTTCCTTCAATTAGTCATTTTTGTGCTCTACAAGTCTTTGAAGAGATCTGGTCTATAAAATATGAGCACCAACATATATAAGAGCTTTAAAAATTGTTTTTTTGTTTTTTAAAAGAAAAAAAAATTAAAAATAGAAAAAACTTACAGACCTGCGTCTGGAAAGCACATGTTCAATCACCGAAAATGATGACACACATACAAACTTCCGCTTGTGACGTAATAGATATTTTGCTGTGAATGATAAAGTTAATTAAATATGTAAATATGAAACCTATTAAATTTGTTTTATAATTCATATAAGACTACTCTTAATTAAAACATATACATTGAGCACATACTCTTTAGAATTTTATGTTTTCCCTACAAAATTTATGTTTGTATTTGTAGGAAAAAAACATTTGCACAAAAAAATTTTTAGGCACATTTATGAGGCAAACATCGAGAAGATAGGTAAAGAAGACAATTTTTTTAAATTTGTTGGCTAAAGCTTTTTCCTAGGACTTTGAATGCGAATATAATTCATCAAAAAATATTATGCATTCGTACACAAATAAATAAAAATACAAGGTTAATATTTTTTATTCTTTCTGAAAATTAAAATAAATAATCTGAAAATTTACACGATCAACATCAGCTTCCCAGCGGGATATGGAGCCGAGCCAGCCATTTCATTATGTTTTGAAGCCCAATTCGCCAACTCCCAAACCAAGCCTAGGCTAAAACTTACGGGGCTGGCGCGAGGCTAAGATGCAAATTCAAGCCGAAAGCATCATCAAAATTGGGCTCATCATTAGCCCTAGAGAATCTACTTAAGGAAGGCCCATCTAGACTCCCATTATGGGCTATAACAGATTCTGGCCCAATACTACTCAAGCTGGACTCTCCTACACTGCTGGTGCAAGGTAAGTTGGCTACACCCCTTCCGTTCATTGGAAACGCGTAGCCATATGACACGTGGAAGTACGGCAAAGCGCGTGGAAAGCAAACCCACGGCGGAGATGGTGGTTGTGAGAGAAGATGAGGCGGCGGAGCAAATACGGTGGCGTTTGGACTAGTTGCTTGCATTTTTGCACGTTTCAATTGTTGTCTTTCTTTCTTGTGAGCGTTTTGGTGACCACCTAATGCTTGTGAGTTTTCGAACTTCCTGCCGCAGTACTGGCAGTCGTATTTCCGGCAGTCGGAAACCGGAAAAGTGGCAGATTTCGGCGAGCTTGATGTTGTTTTGGTGGATTCTATCTCTTCTTCTTTGACTACGTTGAAGCCGAAGAGTTTTAAACTTTCATTAGTTGTGGTGTTATTGCTGTTAAGAAATATATTATTATTTTGTTAACATTATTTATTAAGGGTAGAATAGTCTTTTAAGTTTTCTTTATTTTAGACTATATATAGTCTCTTTGTATCTAGGTTTTATTCATTCAATTACATTATGCAGAATCAATAAAACCCTAGCCTCTTTTTCTTCTTCTCCTT